TACTGCAAGTGAGAAGGATCTCACTTCAGAACTGGAAGGAGCTCATTGCAGAACTGTAAATCACAAGCTGCATATGAGTCAACAATGTGATCTGGCTGCAAAAAGGGCAACTGGTATTTGGGGCTGCATTAATAGAAGTATTTATTTATTTATTTATTTATTTATTTATTTATTTATTTATTTAAAACATTTCTATGCCGCCCCATCGCAATAAAGCCTCGGGGCGGCTCACAAAACATCAATAAATAACAATACAATAAAACCCCAATACACTTGGGGTATCACTTCCAAATCCCTTTTAGTAGAAGTTCCTCTTTACTCAGCACTTGTTAGCTGCAGTATTGTGTCCAGCTCTGGGCACCACAGTTTAAGAGATTCAGACAAGCAGAGGATGCCAGGTTCAGGGAGTGGAAACAAAGCCCTATGAGAACTGGGCATGTTCAGCCTCAGGAAGAGGACTGAAGGGATCTATGACAGTAAGCCAGATTCCAGCTAGATATTAGGAGAAATTTCCTGACTGTTAGAGCAGTATGAGAATGGAACCAATTACCTAGGGAGGCTGTGGGCTCTGCCACACTAGAGGCATTCAAGACGCAACAGGACAGCCATCTGAGATAGATGGTTTAACTCGGTGTCCTGCAATGAGCAGGGGATTGGACCCAGTGGCTTTCTGGACTCTTCCAACTCTACTATTCTATGATTATATGTTAGATAGACCAAAGTTCTGATAAGACTGCTCAAGATGGATATAAGGGGAAAGTATAGGGCAAACACTGTAACTCAGTGGTTAGAGTATACTTTGCATTCTTAAGGTCATAGGTTCAACCTGTGCTATCTTTAGGTAAGACAGGGAAAGAGTCCCTCTGATGCTGGTGAGCTTCTGCCAGGTACTGTAGACAATACTGAACCAAGTGGACCTATGGCCTGCAATTTGTCCACAATAACTTGACTTTGAGACAACAAGTGATTGTAGACAAATTTATATTGGTATTCTTTGCAAAATACTATGAGGAAAATCTCCTTCATGGATCACTGCCTTGTTGTGGGGAAGGGGCTTGCATTGCTCAATGAAGCTATGAGCTATGCCGTGCAGGGTCACCCAAGACGGACAGGTCATAGCAGTGAGCTCTGACAAAACGTGATCCACTGAAGAAGGAAATGGCAACCCACTCCAGTATCTTTGCCATGAAAACCCCATGGACAGTACCAAAAGGCAAAAAGATATGATGCCGGAAGATGAGCCCCTCAGGTCGGAAGGTGTCCAATATGCTACTGGGGAAGAGCAGAGGGCTAGTACTAGTAGCGCCAGAAAGAATGAAGCAACTGGGTCAAAGACAAAAGGACATTCAGTTGCAGATGTGTCTGGTGGTAAAAGGAGTGTCCGATGCTGCAAAGATCTATACTCCATAGGAACCTGGAATGCAAGATCCATGAATCAAGGCAAGCTGGATGTGGTCAAACAAGAGATGACAAGACTGAACATCGACATCTTAGGAATCAGTGAACTAAGATGGACAGGAATGGGTGAATTTAATTCAGATGACCATCAGGTATACTACTGTGGGCATGAATCCCTCAGAAGAAATGGAGTAGCATTCATAGTCAATAAAAGAGTAGGAAAAGCAGTACTGGGATACAACCTCCAAAATGACAGAATGATCTCAGTTCGAATCCAAGGCAAACCATTCAACATCACAGTAGTCCAAATCCATGCCCCAACCCTGGTGCTGAAGAGGCTGAAGTTGACCAGTTCTACGAAGGCCTACAACACCTTCTAGAATTAACACCCAAAAATGATGTCCTTATCATCATGGGGGATTGGAATGCTAAAGTAGGAAGCCAAAAAATAACTGGAATAACAGGCAAGTTTGGCTTTGGAGTACAAAATGAAGCAGGGCACAGGCTGGTAGAATTTTGTCAAGAGAATACGATGGTCATAGCAAACACTCTTTTCCAACAACCCAAGAGACGACTCTAACATGGACATCACCAGACGGTCAACACAGAAATCAGATTGATTATGTGCTCTGCAGCCAAAGATGGAGAAGCTCTATACAGTCAGTAAAAACTAGACCAGGAACTGACTGTGGCTCAGATCATGAACTTCTGGTTGCAAAATTTAGGCTTAAGTTGAAGAAAGTAGGGAAAAGCACTAGGCCACTCAGGTATGACCTAAATCATATCCCTGATGAATATACAGTAGAGGTGACAAATAGATTTAAGGAATTAAATCTGATAGACAGAGTGCCTGAAGGATTATGGACGGAGGTTCGCAACATTGTACAAGAGGCAGCAACTAAAGCCATTCCAAAGAAAAAGAAATGCAAGAAAGCAAAATGGCTGCCTGAGGAAGCTTTACAAGTAGCTGAGGAAAGAAGGGAAGCGAAAGGCAAGGGAGAAAGAGAAAGATACAAACAATTGAATGCAGAATTCCAGAGAATAGCTAGAAGAGATAAGAATGCCTTCTTCAATGAACAGTGCAAAGAAATAGAAGAAAACAATAGAATAGGGGGGACCAGAGATCTCTTCAAGAAAACTGGAGATATGAAGGGAACATTTCATGCAAAGATGGGCATGCTAAAGGACCAAAATGGCAGGGACCTAACAGAGGCAGAAGAGATTAAGAAGAGATGACAAGATTACACAGAAGAACTATACAAGAAAGAGCTTAACGTCCCTGATAACCACGATGGGGTGGTCACTGACCTCGAGCCAGACATCCTGGAATATGAAGTCAAATGGTCTGAGCAACAACAAAGCTAGTGGAGGTGACACTATTCCAGCTGAGCTATTCAAAATCTTAAGAAGATGATGCAGTAAAAGTGCTACACTCAATGTGCCAGCAAATTTGGAAAACTCAACAGTGGCCACAGGATTGGAAAAGTTCAGTTTACATTTCAATCCCAAAGAAGGGCAATGCCAAAGAATGTTCAAACTACCACACCATTGCACTCATTTCACATGGTAGCAAAATGATGCTCAAAATCCTACAAGCTAGACTCCAGCAGTATGTGGACCGAGAACTACCAGAAGTACAGGCAGGATTTCGAAGAGGAAGAGGAACTAGAGATCAAATTGCCAACATACACTGGATCATGGAGAAAGCTAGGGAGTTCCAGAAAAACATCTACTTCCGCTTCATTGACTATGCTAAAGCCTTTGATTGTGTGGATCACAACAAATTGTGGCAAGTTCTTAAAGAGATGGCAGACCCAGACCATCTTATTTGTCTCTTGAGAAACCTATATGCGGGTCAAGAAGCAACAGTGAGAACTGGACACGGAACCACTGGTTGGTTCAAAATTGAGAAAGGAGTTTGGCAAGGCTGTATACTGTCGCCCTGCCTGTTTAACTTATATGCAGAGCACATCATGAGAAAGGCGGGGCTGGATGAATAACCAGTTGGAATTAAGATTGCTGGGAGAAATATCAACAACCTCAGATATGCAGATGATACCACTCTCATGGCAGAAAGTGAAGAAGAACTAAAGAGCCTCTTGATGCAGGTGAAGGAGGAAAGTGCAAAAGTTGGCTTGAAACTCAACATTAAGAAAACTAAGATCATGGCATCCGGTCCTCTCACTTCCTGGCAAATAGATGGGGAACAAATGGAGGTAGTGACAGATTTTATTTTCCTGGGCTCCAAGATTACCGCAGACGGGGACTGCAGCCAAGAAATTAAAAGATGCTTGCTCCTGGGGAGGAAAGCTACGGCAAACCTAGACAGCATACTAAAAACCAGAGACATCACCCTGCCAACAAAAGTGCATATAGTCAAGGCTATGGTTTTCCCAGTTGCAATGTATGGCTGTGAAAGCTGGACCATAAGGAAGGCTGAGTGCAAAAGGACTGAGGCCTTTGCATTGTGGTGCTGGAGGAGACTCCTGCGAGTCCCTTGGACTGTAACGTGATCGAACCGGTCAGTCCTAGAGGAGATCAACCCTGACTGCTCTTTAGAAGGCCAGATACTGAAGATGAAACTCAAATACTTTGGCCACCTAATGAGAAGGAAGCACTCCCTGGAGAAGAGTCTAATGCTGGGAACAATAAATGGCAAAAGAAGAAGGGGACAGCAGAGGATGAGGTGACTAGATGGAATCACTGAAGCAGTTGGTGTGAGCTTAGGTGCACTGTAGGGGATGGTGGAGGACTGGAAGGCCTGGAGAAATGTTGTCCATGGGGTTGCGATGGGTCGGACACGACTTCACGACTAACAGCAGCAGCAACGAGGAAAAATGAGCACTCTGTGAGCTAGAATGGAAACAAACATCGATTTACAAAAAAGCCTAGTTCTATCAACATAAAAGAATAGTAACAAAAAGATTCCTGTATCTTTTATTTTTTTTCTCCTCTGGAAGAAAACACCTTGATGTCCATAAAAATCAGTTGCTGCTTTTGGTATATACTCAAAGAAGGGGGAAAATTACTCTTTCAAAATCAGTTTGACCAAATTGGTTTTTCTTCCTTATGTTTTTTTTTTAACGCAAGAAAATTCTTCCCAGAAATGCTTACAACACCCTCCATATTTTGCTGCAGTCCTTTAAACAAGAAATATACACTGAAAATATACACTGCTACTCCAAGCCTTACAAAAAGTGATATAGAAGCTGGATATTATTCAAGCTTTAAGAGAAAAAAATGCAAATCAAGCCCCAAATATTAAAAACATTCATAAATTTCCAAGACAATCCTAATCCTGAATAGGAAGGTTGGGAGCACGGTCTAGTGCATTTGATTCTGCCTCACTACCTGCCCAATAGAAGAGGCATGGCTACTGATTTAAGACTTACTATGCTCTGCAGAACTGGAATGTCAGCACAATCCTATTTATGCAACCCCCCACTTGTTCAATGGGGCTCAGTTTGTTAAAGATTGTAGCCAGGTATTGGCATTTTGATCTTCCTTAAGTTGTTTAGTAAACAAACAGTTTGACTGTGTGAATCATATATTTAAATATGTATAAACATTTTGAAAAATAAACACAAGGGTTTAAATAAACATACATTTAAACTCAAAAGAATTTTAATAGGTTACTTGCAAAATGTTATTGCAGGCAACAACATCTACACAGTTTTAGTTCCAAATCCACAAAAAACACACAAAATTTATACAAATTAGCATAGTAAAAATTAATGCCTTAGAGGCTTTGCTGGCAGAATTAATTTGTAGGTTCTAGAATGGGTGTTTCTTGTATTTTTTCTTTTTTTCTTTTTATTACAAAAAATTTACAAGTGAAATATTACTACAAAACTTTTTATAAGGTTCTCTGCAAAACATTTACAATTTTACCACCAACTATTTCTCGGTTTCAAAATCATTATGTAGATTTAACACCCTATGCTGGACATCAATTTTTGTGGGATGACAATTCAGTGACATGCATGAAAAAAAATCACAAGGCATTAGAAATGGAGACTTAAATACAAATATTGTTGCAGTAAAACAGTTATAAAATTGAAAAATAGGACCCAAACATCATGCTTACCTAAGTTTAACAAAAACCTTTTCTCCTAATTACACACTTTTATTACTTCTCTCATAAAACAGTGTGATAAATAATGACATAACACCAATTTCTAATGTAATCAGGAAACACATACACAACCTTATTCCAAGAAAATATATTGAAAAGAAAAAAACCTATTTCAACACTGGAGTTCTACCATGATAAATACACTTTGCACTGATAAGTACAATAAAGCAAAATTTTATAATGGTGGCAAAGGGAATGAACAGTGAAATGCCATTAAACAAGCTACTACTGCACATCTGTGTCCCATTACGTACAACAGTTATATCCCACTGAGTCAAATAAAGGACACTGAAATTTACGATCCTTCTAAGACTGAAAAGTGGACTCAGAATGGTATGCAGAACAGACTATCAAAATGTTTTTAATTCCAGGAGTAATAAGTGCACCTGCTAACACAGTTTAATCTACATTAGATTGTGATACAAACCAGATTTTGATAAACTTGTAATAGGGATTTTGCTGTAGATTAAAAATAATTTCCATTTTCCATCTGCATACATAAGTATGCAAAAAATACTTAAAAGCTGTGCAGAGTATTCTTAGCTTCAGTTTACAAAGAATTTTTTTAAGTTAACATGATTCTCTAAGGAAATTGTATTTGCTTATCTAACGTTTTTTATAGCACTGATTGTGAAGCATAAAATATATATTTGACCTTGCAGTTCATTTGCAACAGAAGATAATTAGTATTACCTAAAGGCCATCTGTATTAAATGTATCATCAAATTGATTCATGTTTTAAAGCCAAATGCATCAGTTGAAAATGTTTTAAATAAAATATACAAAAACTCAACTAAAATTTAAAGACTGTTAAATGTCTACAAAAGAATCAAAGTTGTTGATTTTTAAGAAACTTTAAATTTATAAGCACAGTGTAAAATAGTTTTCCTTGCTATGTACGTTAGCTGAAAGTATAAAAGACTCTCAGCTACATAGTTCAGTACACAAGGCAACCCTAAAGTGTACACGGTACAAACAACCATCTGTAGATTTTTGTCTTTAAAAAGGCATGCAATGTCACAAAAGTGGTTCTTGTATAAGGATATAAAAGTATTTGTTCATTCTCAAACAGCTCCCAACAGAAATGATAAAAGGAAAAATGTTAACTTCTTGCACTGTACTTTTAAGTTAAATCACAAAAATGGTGCTAAAATGTAAAAATAGGCAGTCATGAGATATTTTTCAACTGGAAAGATCTGCAAAATATTTATGTCAATCAGAAATGTTTAAAAATAATATTTTATTTGGTCATATTTCTGCTGTGTACTCAAATTTACACACTGATGCCCAAATCCAGTGTGAGAGCTATAGTCAGATGTCTTTCATAAGTGCATTTGATAGACATGTACATCACTATCCATACATCATGACGCTCATATAGGTCCCACTCTTTGGTGGGATGTTGACACTTGATAGACAGGAATGTACAATCCTACAGAGCACCAGTAGTTATTATGGCCAACTTAGTTGTCATGAACAAGAGCAGGACCTGCGACATAAAATAAACCAGTGCTTTTGACTTTTTTGAAATGTGCTGTACTAACAGAATATAATGAGAACACAATCACTTTACTCAAGCAGAACAACTATATTTTTTCTTATGTGCCTTATTTATAAAGAATCAAAATGGTTGATTGAATAAACATTCTTTAAAATTATTTTTACCAGCCTATATAGAGAAGGAGTGGGAATGTAAAATTTTATCAGAATCCAAAATTTCTTTCAACTAGGGCTATACATCCAAAGTGACTTTGACTTGAGTTTCTCAAATAGCAAACCCCTAAGGCTACAAAGCAAGCAATTTCTGACACGGGACTTTCAAAAGGAATTTGTTATATGGCACCATAGACTGTTCAATGGAGGGAAATGTCAAAAATTTTACTGGGTGTGCTGAAACCCTTTAGAAAGCTAGAAGTAGCACTTTGGATTCCAGCCATTATTTTTCATAAGGAAAGATAGATAATATATTAATTTACAGTTACACTTTTGGTTGAAGTTATTCATCCCTTTCTTTGGCTGTTATGTCAAAGTCTAAAGAATTCAGTACATTAACCACAATATTTGATATTGACAAGGTTGACAGTGGTACATAAATTCTGCAACATTCTAATTCCCATTTCCAGGTATTCTAATAAAACATAAATACTTAAATTATAGGCTTTGTAACTGAAATTAACCAAGGTTTAGAAATAGATCACCTACATCTTGAAATGGGATGAGTTAAAGTATAGGGCTTTTCACATAGGTTCCAATATTTCATTTTTACATAGAAGTTAATTAAAATCTTATGTCAATATATTTCTAAGATTCAATATTTGCTACAGTATACACTGGCTCTATAGATCTCTTCTCCTAGAAAGAGAATAATCTGTGTTTACTGATTGTCATTATACACACTACTATAATGTAGTGCCCACAATTATCTGAGATGTACCTCAGACCCACTTAACATCATGCCATCTGAATTCTTTTTAAAAATGAGCAAAGATGGCCAAATCTAATGTTTTACAACCCAAAAGGAAAGAAAAGTTTTTCATCTTCACTAGCTTATTATGCATTTTATTGTGCCTTTTGGACAAAGTAAATTCCCATGAAAATAGAGACTTCCATGAGGAAAACCCCCTAGCCAACAGCTGTCCTGTTGCATATTCGTATTGTTTGTTGTTACAACAAACACCTACATATGTTAAAAGAGAAGAAAAAAATCTAATTAAAATTCCATTGCGTGATACAGAATTACATAAATTAGTACAGTGTGGAAGTAATATTTTCCTCATCTGTTCTATCCATTAATTTGTCAGTGTCAGTTGGCTCAGTTTTCATTTTTGAAAATGTTGTCTTGCTGTACAATGTACACTTCCTGTGCTAATCCTCCAACTTGGAATACTTACAGAAATCAAGATTGAATACATGATTTCCTGCTCTGTAATACACTTTTACCAGCCCACTTCCGTATCTTGAAAGGTATGTAAACTTAAGTGCAGCTCTAGGCATTGGTATAATGTTCCTTCAGAATTCCTCCATGTTTGTTGAAACATTAGGGGTTGCTGGGTTTGAATCTTGAGAAATGGCTGCAACTGTGACAATCCTTGGAGATCCAAGAACCTCAGTAACTGAAGAGTCCAATTCACCTGAGGTAACTATAGCAAGGGCTGTTCCCCCACCCTTCTTGTTCTGATGGGTTTTGACATGCTTAGAGAGATGGTCGCTTCGCATAAATCTTTTAGAACATTCTGGACATTCAAATCTTTTTTCACCTATTGAGAAATAATAATAATTACATTTTATATAAATAGCATTTGGTAACTGTCTATAATCAATAGTGTACTCCCACTGATTTCAAGTGGTTATCTTTTTTGTTTTGCTAAACTAAAATAAGTTTGAAAATATCATTATTAATTATTCTGAATAGACTATAAACATGAATGTATTTATGTGATTATGTAGTGAAATGCTTATGTTTAATTTACAGTACCAATACTGGGTTGGATCCTGTTAGTCATGTTTTAATCCCACTGAAAACTATGAAACAAGTTAAACTATCATGACTAAACTTGTGGCTAATTTCAATAGGATTAAAGGGACAGTTAACAGACCTGGCATCTAACAAACTGTCTTAGCAAATATTGCCATATGACCTAACTGGGAGATCTGCATTTCTTTCTTCTGTTGTAATCAATTATAAACCTGGGTAAGTACTTTTCCACAGTAAATATATGCATCTCTCTAGTAGTACCAAGGTACTGCTGACTGCACCACTTCTGAACGGATTCTAACAGACCCATCTTTTATGAACATGGGTATTTTAAAAAGTATCCTGAAGTGTCCACTAGAATAGCTATCATGGTAAATTCTTTAAGAGTGGCTATATGAGACCTATCACATCAAATTATAGTGGGCAATTATTGGAAAGATACCATCATTTTGAATCACTAATTGCAGACAATTCAGGTGAGAAGTTCCTTTTACAAAATCTCTCCCCATTTTCAGTTATTCTTCCATCTTACTGCCATCTCTTCTCTTCCATCACCGCATCCTAAGGCATTCAGAGGGCCAACTCTCAGGAAAAGCTTTCTGGAGAGGCTAATTGGCTGTCATGAGAAGGAGCTGGCAGGAAAGCCATTGCATGAGTGGATGTCTGCTTGTAAATGTTGGATGCCACCTTTCAAAATGGATACCACCATGTAAAACTAATTATTATAGTATATAGCAACTGACAGGCAATCCTATATACCAAGGGTGGCTAAAACGAGGCCCACTTGCTGCTCACCACCTGTTGCTGGTGCCCCTGGGCACATGCATGAAGCTTGCTGCCATGCTTTGTGGCGCTCCCTTGCAGCTCTCAAACATCTGACATTTACCGTAAGTGGCCTTTCCATTGAGTAAGTCTGACCATCCCTCCTATATACCTTGAAGTAAGTCCCAATGATCTCAGTAAAGCTACTTTCTCAGTAGGACTGGCTGAAGTTAACCAATGAAACCAATGTATTCAAATGTCAAAGTAACCCCCCTCCTTTTGGGCTATCCACAGGTTTTCACACATTTTTGTCCTTCCTCTACCTCGGATATCAGCTTTCCTGATCTCCTACAAAAAAGGGCAAAATGTGAGCCCAAATAGCTCACAATTATGGCAGGAGTGAAACAAGCCAGGGTTGGATGCTTCTAAGTGACATTGGGGCACATTTGATGCACCTGGCCCTTGCTCAGGAGCCCCATGGCAGGAACAGTTTGCTGCTCCTGCAATGGGGCTTGCTAGCAGACTGCCTGTAGCTGATGTAGTTATCTGAGTTTTGACAACATGACAACCCATTGTATGTTAAACATCTTGTTGTCCAAGTACAAGCTATAAGTCATTAAGAAGTACAAGTCATTTGAATCTCTTCCTAATTCTTATGAGGTATGCAAAATCTTACACAACACTAGTTTTGAAACATGCGAATGCCCTGATGGGTAACTAACTTTCTCAAAGGAATTTTCAGCAAATTTTCCCAGGATGAACTGGAAACTGTAATTTTATTCTTCTCATTTTTTCTTACGAATTATTTCATAAGTAAATTAACCCATGAAAAAGCATCCTTTGTGTGCACGTAAATTGCATTTGTTGTTTTTGTTAAAAATGAAGTGTTGCCATCATGTGACTTTACTAAGATAGATTTGCCTTAAAATTACAAGGCTCTAAGTAACACATTTCTGGAACGCATAGTCCTGGGCAGGCATTTACTCTCACAATCCTTTTTGGCAGTAATAAAAATTTAATTCATAAACTAAAAGATATGGAAGCATAACATACTCCCATTAGAATATAATAGTACATGAGAAGGTTTTTTGAATTTCCTGGGAATAGACAACTTCTCACTTTCCTGTTCAAGGAAGAATCCATTGAAAGAAGCAAGTTCTTACGTTAGGTTTTTTTAAAAATTTAGAACACTTTCTGTAATACACTAAATATTTTGTAAAATATAAAATACACTTCAACTTTTAAAACCTTTGTACAGTCTATGTACTCACCGGTATGGGTTCGCCTGTGTCTTTGCAATTCATCACTCCTTGTAAATCGTTTCCCACAGAAGATCCAATTGCATATAAATGGCCTCTCTCCAGTATGCCATCGAAGGTGCGCCCGAAGATGAGATGTTTTCCCATATACTTTTCCACAACCTTCTATATGGCAGATATGCTGTTTCTTTTTTCCTGGTTCATTACTGCTTCTATCAAGTAGAAATCACTAACAGTTAAACTAAGCACAATTTAGAAAACTTAGCACAAGAACTAAATATTAAGGAAAAAAGTAGTAACAGGAATGCAACAGCAAAAGGGTCACAGTACCTTCCTTCTCCTTCTCTGCAATTAGGACACGAGCAAGCAACTCTTCTTAACCTTTTCCCAGGTTGCACTTCTTGATCAGAAGCTTGCTGGGCTTGTTGCAACTGCACCTGAGTTATCTGATCGGGACTAACAGCACCAATTGCTGCATTAGCAATCCCTCCTACTGCTACTGTTACAGGAGCTATTGTGGCTTGCTGTACTTTCACTCCTTCCTGTCCTTGTTGTTGTCCTGTAAAATAAGAAAAATTCTTAGATTCTCCAATTTATCAGAGTAAAATCACAACATAATCTTTAAAATCCAATCTACTCCAATATATGTAGAAGGACATTCATCTCATAGGCATAATACTGTGGGATAGCAGGAACTATTTTCCCTAGTTTATTAAAGCCAGAATCACTTATATTAAAAAGGAAACCACTAAACTTTCACAAATATATTGTGTTAACTGAAAAAGTGAAAGATAATTGTGTGCTTATAATATTGCTACATTCCTTATCTGAAAGTAGCATGTTGTTCTCTTAGCTGAAGTTGTTCCTACAATGTGCAGTGAAGCCACTGTGGGAAGAGCTTGCTACCGAAAACAGGTATCAGTGCATAGGAAAAAAAATAATGTGGAAAGTTAAGTGGCTGTCTTTGCCCATACATGCTGTTGTTGAACTAGCCTGTAATATTTAACACATTGAACTTTAATCACCTAACTTTAGATACAGCTCATTGGACACCTCAAAGTATATCATCATCCAGCACAAAGTTAGCCTCTTGAATAACATTAAATATATGAAACAGTAAAATTTCATTTTTATCTCATTAGTTTAAATAACTAAAAGTCAGAACAAGCTTCTCTAGAGTACAGATAGTTTGTAAGTGAACTATCCAATAATCATAGAATCATAGAATAGAAGACTTGGAAAGCAGGGTCCAACCCCATGCACAGTGCAGGACTATAAGTTAAACCATCTCTCTCAGATAGCTGTGCTGTTGCACCTTGAATGCCTTTAGTGTGGCAGAGCCCACAACTTCCCTAGGAAATTGGTTCCATTGTTGTACTGCTTTAAAAATCAGGAAAATTTTTCCTGCTATCTAGCTGGAATCTGGCTTCCTGTAATTTGACCCTTATTCTTTGTCTGGCACTCTAGGATGATCAAGAAGAGATCCTGGCATTCCTCTTTGTGACAACGTTCCAAGTACTTGTAGGCTGCTATCATATTTTCCCCAGTCTTTTCTTCAAACTAAACATGCCCAATTATTTCAATTTATCATCATATGACTTTGTTCCCAGTCCCTGAATCATCCTTGTTGTCCTCCTCTGAAACCTTTCCAGCTTGCCTGAATTGTTCTTAAACTGTGGAGCCCCAAACTGGGCACAGTACTTCAAATGAGGCTTAACCAGTGCTGAGTGAAAGGGAACTAGTACTCCATGTGATTTGTAAGTGATATTACTATTAATGTAGCCTAAAATAGCATTTGCACTTTTTGCAACCAGATCACATTCCTGCCTCATATTCAGCTTGTGACTTAAAACAATTCCAAGATCCTTCCCACTTGCAGTATTGTTGAGCCAAGTATTCTCCATCTTGTAATGATGCATTTAATTTCCTTTTCCTAGGTGCAGAACTTGGCATTTGACCCTATTGTAAGTCATTCTGTTGTTTTCAGCCCAATGTTCCAACCTATCAAAATCACCTTGATTCTTATTTCTATCTTCCAGGATATTAGCTATCCCACCTAGTTTACAAATTGGTAATTGTTCCCTGAACTTCCTCATCCATATCGTTAATAAATAAATTGAAAAGCACTGGGTCCAGGAATAAACACTGCAGCATCTCACTTGTAACCTCTACCCAGTTTGAGAAGATGCCGTTCATGAACACTTTTTGAGTTCAGTTCTGTAGCCAACTTTGGATCCACCTGATAGTTGTTTGATCTAGCCCCCTTTTTCTAGCCCCCTTTTCTAATGGGGATATCATGGGGCACTTTGTTGAGAGCTTTGCTGAAGTCAAGATAGATTATGCTAACAGCATTTTCAGTCTATCAGGGAGGTTACCCAATCAAAAAATGAAACCAGATTGGCAGGATTTGTTCTTTAAAAATCCTTATTGGTTTCTAGTAACCACTGCTTAGACGATCCTTGACCATTTGCCCACCATGGAGCGTTTCAGCTTCCATCCTGCAACTTCGGTTTGTAGTTTAACTTCTTTGAATTTCCTTTTAAAAAATTCCAGTCCATTTTGGATTCCTTTTATTAGAAACACTCACTATGGGACTTATCATTGTTGTGAGTTTAGTAAAATAGGCTTTCCTAAAATCCAGGATACATGTTTGGCTTTTGCTTCCTTTAAAATCAAGAATTCGAGAATGGCATGGCCACTTTCCCTCAGAAAAGTTGCCACTTTGTCCACTATGTCTTCCCTGGTGGTTAGTATCAAGTCATGGATAGCCATTCATCTTGTTCCTTCTTCCACTTTCTGGAAGTTACCAGCTACACACGTTAGAAATTTCTTTGAGGGGCTGTATTTGTCAGAATTTGTCTCCCAACAGATATTGGGGAAACTTGAGTCCTCCAAAATGACATCATGCCTCCTTGAAACACTGGCAATTTGCTTTTCAAAACTGTCATCTTCATCTTCTCCTTGACTGGGTGGTCAGTAATAGATTCCAACCACTGCATTCTTTTTATTATTCCTTCCATTTATATTAATCCAGAAGCTCTCAATAGAGCTACTAAGCTCATCCCTCTGTATTTCTGTGCAGAGATATTTTTCTTTAACATATAGTGTGATTCTGCTTCCCTTTCTGTCCATTCAGTTCTTCTCAAACTGGTTATATCTTTCAGTTGTTCAATTTCAGCCATAGGAGGCTTCACACTAAGTTTCAGTTATATCTATCAGGTTGTATTTACCCTCCTGTATTAATACTTGAAGGCTGTGCTGTTTGTTTCCTATACTCTAGGTCTTCATATATAGATATCAAAAATTGTGTGCACAATACTCTAGCTTTCTTCCTACATTTTTGGAAGATTATCTTGTAAGGTGCAACCCATCCCTTGCCAGCAGTCCATCTTACAGAAAACGTAGCCTGTGATCCCAGAATCCAAATTTCTCATGTTGGTACCACCTTTATAGTGAGGCATTCACTTGGAGTGTTTTTCTTTCCCTGTCTATTCTCCTTACAAGAACTGGAAGGATTGAAGAGAAAACTATCTGGGTCCCAAATTTTTGACTTTTCTCCATAAAGCTTTAAAGTCTGATGTGATTTCTTCAAAGCTTCCTTTGGCAGTGTCATTTGTTCTCACATGTAAAAGAAGGAAGGGATGCATGTCAGTGGGCTTAAAAATCTTTCAGTTATATCACTAATCTCTCATCCAGGAAGACAGCATACCTGATATGTCCATAGGTCTTCCAGGCATCCTGTGTTTCCATCCCAAAGGAGTCTAACACCATTTTCTTCTTATTCTTGTAAACCTTGATATCATTGCCACTACTTGCAACTACCATTAACTTCTTGTTAAGTGTTGCATGGGATGCCCTGCAGTTCTTCAGTCCCATCCTCAAGTAACTGTGAGCAGTTTGAGAGTTCCATTGCTTCCATTGGTGTATAGTGTCTTCTAGTTCTTCTGTACCTGTCACCCTTGTCCAGGGAATGTCCTCCTCATTTTCCCTTCCATCAAGATTCTCCTGCCTCAGCTTGCTGTTTCATTTCTAGCTTCTATATTTCTCTCAGCTGTTGTAGTTCAACTACTCTATCTAAAACACTCTTTATCGTCTTTTATTTCCTTGAGGATGGACACTCACTGTTCTAATGCTCCCACCTTTTCTTCTAACAGAGCTACTAGCTTGCACTTGTTTCTTGTGTAGGCCATGCTGATCTCAGGTAGGAAAACAAATACTGCACAGACATTGTAGGTCACCACCACTGGGGAGTCTCCTTGGTCCATTCTTTCTTTCACCTTTTTGATTCTAGCTTGTTTCTCCTGTGTTGAAGGTTAACAACACATGCCTATCAGTAAATGGGAGAGTATTTCAGGGAAGAAAACAATGCTATTCTATAAATTAAAATAGTCCTAATTCAGCTTCATTGAATCTTTCCATTGTACAAGCAGTTTTGCATTATGCTTGCATCCACTTGCACAGCGAAGTGCAACTGTAACTTTATTTGGATTCACTTTTGATGCAGAATTCAGTGCCCTGTTTCTGCTAGTGCAACTTAATTTTTGTTACCCCAACAACAAACTTGGATTCTGCCCTTAGTATATATATTTCCAAATAGAAAACAATTTTTATTTGCTTGGTAAGATGTAAGGCAACTAAAACAGTATCTAAACACCTTGCATTAGAAAGCATTCTGTATTCATTGTGGAAGACAAAACAGTTCATAACATAACAGAAGTTCTTTTTTAACAGAAAGCCTTGTCTACACATCTCTAGTAGGAGGCAGTAATTCAAGTTGGTGGTGGGTTCATCCTATTCATTCATAGATTGCTATCCTGCAAGTCCAGTGCTTACCCCTAGATTTGCTCTATTTTTGTTTGGCTTTTTGGGTTCTGGGCTTGTCCAGATCTTGTCCATGATGATAAACTCAAAAGTTTATTTATTTATTTATTTATCAATTTATATCCTGCCTTTTTTCTACAAAGGGCTCAAGGCAGCTTACATCATTCTCCTCCTCCATCTTATCCCCACAACAACCCTGTGAGGTAGGTTGGGCTGAGAGTCTGTGACTGGCCCAAAGTCACCCAGTTGGCTCCATAGCTGAGCAGGGACTAGAACCCAGATCATCCCAGTCCCATGCTCTTAACCACTACACCACACTGGCTCTTATTATTATTTAATAATAAAAGTGCATTATCCAAATTACAAAGGAATTACACACTAATTAGTGATTTTATACTGGAAATTGTGTTTTTCCCCTTTTCTTTTGTGATATAGCTGTTACAGATACTGTACTTACTTGAAGAATGGTTAACCACCACAAGAAATTATACTTCCATAACAGAACATTTCCCTGTGCCATGTCAGCCACCAGGGTATTTGGAACAAGGTGACTAAATGATAATCCTACTTCACAGCAAACAGTCATCTCTGGTTCTCTAGAGCCTCCTAGACATGAAACTGGACTTTAGAAATTCTGTAAAGATCCAGACTACTACTGTCAGTTTTAAACATTTTAATAAGTCTGGTTTCAGCTTTGTCACACCTCTCCAATGTCTCAGCCAACAGAATCCCCCTACT